GGAGGAACCGGTCTACTCCCACCTCTAGATGTACCGGCCCTGCTAGTAGAAGGGGCGTCTGCAGCCCGAGCCTGAGCCTGGCCCGAGGATGACATACCGGCAGGCCTCATCATCGGGATACGAGCTTCCGTCAATGGAGGCATCAAATATATGTGACGGTAAGTGGCGTAGTCCCCCTCCTCAATATATAATAAAGCTTCACTACCCAGCATGGCGCCGACTACCTCTGAGTAAAAGAGCCTGTCAGCGGTCCGCATACTAGCTGGAGGTACTGCGGGAACATCCTGAGAAAGATACCCCCATACCTGGCGCAGAAAGCGTTCCCCCAGGAACCAGGCCCTGCCAACTGGCCCTTCGAGCAGGACCCTATATTGAGAGATGCCCGACGCTCCGGTGTACTGAAGTCGGAGACCATCACCCAGGGACACCCAGGGCTGCCATGTAATCTGCGGATGACAAATGCGTAAACTGATCAGAAATCAGAATGTACAGAGCAAATCAAAGATGAAAATGAAAAGAACTGAAAGTTCTGAAGTACCTCTGAGTGTCGCATAGTGTCGAAGTACTGTCGCAGGCGAAGGAGGGTCTCTCGAGGTCTCGGTCGGTGCGGGCCCTCGAATATCAATGAATATGGGGTCACGGGAATCCCTACCACCTCCAGCTCTGGGGCTAATGATGGGAAGTATACATAAACCCATAGCTGAGAAAAGCAGTGCAGAATGTAAGTACGAAATGCTGAGAGCAAAATACAGAATGAGATGAAATGGGCTGTGTGCCAATGAGATGAATGGGCTGTGTGCCGATGAAATGAATGGGATGTATGCCGATAAAGTGAAATAAGCTACATGCAAATTCTAATCTGGGCTGCGTGTTCAGAAAATTTGAATTTGGGCTGCGTGTTCAACTTTCTATCAGCGTGGGCTGCGTGTTCACTAATTATCTGGGCTGCGTGTTCAGAAAATTTGAAGTTTGGGCTGCGTGTTCAACTTTCTATCAGTGTGGGCAGCGTGTTCACTATTTAATCTGGGCTGCGTGTTCAGAAAAATTTGAAGTTTGGGCTGCCTGTTCAACTTTCTATCAGTGTGGGCTGCGTGTTCACTGTTCTAATCTAGGCTGCGTGTTCAGAAAATTTGAAGTTTGGGCTGCGTGTTCAACTTTCTATCAGTGTGGGCTGCGCGTGTTCACTATCTATCTGGGCTGCGTGTTCAGAAAATTTAAAGTGTGGGCTGTGTGTTCACTTTCGAATTCGGGCTGTATGTTCGACAAATCAGTGTTTGAGCCGTGTGTTCCCCTCTTAATTAATGTGTACTGTGCGTTAGCAATTAATTAATGAGCCGAGTGTTCAGAAATTCGAGTATTGAAACTACATGTTCAGGATGCAAGCAAAGTACTATGGCATAAGCTAAACTGCGTGTTCAAGCATGGCAAAGGTGCGAAATGTACGACAAATACAGAAAATGAAGTAAATACCTCTCGGGCCTCATGAGAGAGGTGATGCTCCGGCTCTCGGAGAAGCAGATCCCCGGGTGCTCGCTATAATGAGCTAAAAAGCTAGACTTAGATCTGAAAGTGAAACAACTCTCGGGAAATAAAAAGTCAACAAAAGTCAACTCTCGGGAAATAAAAAGTCAACAAAAGTCAACTCTCGGGAAATAAAAAGTCAACAAAAGTCAACTCTCGGGAAATAAAAAGTCAACAAAAGTCAACTCTCGGGAAATAAAAAGTCAACAAAAGAATGAGCCGAAATTGGAAAAAGTCAACAAAAGTCAACTCTCGGGAAATAAAAAAGTCAACAAAAGTCAACTCCTGAGAAAATCTTCCAAATATTGAGACAAACTTACCTCAAGTGGCGAAAATGCGAAAAGAAGCTCCGAAACTGAGATTTAATCGCTTCAAAGTGCTTGAAACTAAATATTTTTGCGAAACAATTTGCACGGGGCGTTGGAAAACGCGCATGAAACTCAGATCTGGAGAAGAAAGTGTTGTAGGAGGCAAGAAAGGAAGGGATCTCGGCTGCAATATATAGGCCCCAAGTCTTGGATTGAAGGAGCATCAAAAAGGAGGGGAAAATACCAAAATGCCCCCGAATTTGGGCATATGGCCGGCCGACCGGCCCTCTTTTCTAGCCGGCCAGCTATCTGCTTTTTGGAAAACTGGCCGGCCAGCTATTTACTTTATGGAAAACCGGTTGGCCACCTCCCCTTGGGAAGATAAACGGCCGGCCATGTCCCCCACATGCCCACCTAGCTCTCTGCAAATTTTGAGGAAGATCGGAGTTCCCGGGACCTGAAAAAGTTTAAGAAAAGTACACTTCTGGTCACGAAATAGCTCCGCCGGGACTTCAGCTTCAAGTTCTGACATATGTCTCATCATCATTCATCGAAATCAAAGTGTATCCTTTTTGAATGAGTTGTAGCCCTTCCAGGAAGTGGGTCGGAGGCCGTAATTGAGTTACCTTCGCCGAAACACGCGTTTCCGTACTCGTTGTTTCATGATAATCGGACACCCTGATTCATGCTCGTGTCACATTATCTTGCATTCTCATGAGCATACCTGCATTAGCGTGCACATTTCTTGATATTGGCATATCTCTACACTTGGGCATGCATTGTCACGCATGTTCCACTCTTGCATTGCGATGCATTCACTTGCCGGCACTGCGTGTGTCAAACTTCCAGAATCACATTGAATATATAGCATATTGTACTTGTTGCAATTTCTCTCTTTTGCAGGCACGTTATTGTATGTACGGTTCAATTGAGGCTGGTGCGACCAGACGAATCGCGCAGGTATCGTATCTTCTCCGTGTGAGACGTGGCGGGGATTGAATAAGTGCGAAATGTACGAAAAATACAGAAAATGAAGTAAATACCTCTCGGGCCTCATGAGAGAGGTGATGCTCCGGCTCTCGGAGAAGCAGATCCCCGGGTGCTCGCTCGTCAAAGCTAGTAAAGTGACGGAAGACAGCATGAGGGAGGACATGTGCTGGCGGACGGTACCTCCCAGGAATAAAAGGTCGGGTCCTTGGGGGGAGAGTCATGGGATCAAAATCATCTCCGGCACCTGGAAAACCTCCGCCGTGGGGAGAATTACCCGCCATTTTCAAAAGATCTGCAAAGGGAGCAAAAATGAGCAAAATGAGCCGAAATTGGAAAAAGTCAACAAAAGTCAACTCTCGGGAAATGAAAAAGTCAACAAAAGTCAACTCCCGCGAAAATCTTCCAAATATTGAGACAAACTTACCTCAAGTGGCGAAAATGCGAAAAGAAGCTCCGAAACCGAAATTTAATCGCTTCAAAGTGCTTGAAACTGAATATTTTTGCGAAAATAATTTGCACGGGGCGTTGGAAAACGCGTAGGAAACTCAGATCTGGAGAAGAAAAGTGTTGTAGGAGGCAAGAAAGGAAGGGGCCTCGGCTGCCTTTTATAGGCTCAAGGTCTTGGTTGAAGAAGCATGAAGGAAGGAGGTGAAAATACAAAAATACCCCCGGATTTGGGCATATGGCCGGCCGGCCCTCTTTTCTAGCCGGCCAGCTATCTGCTTTTTGGAAAACTGGCCGGCCAGCTATTTACTTTATGGAACACCGGTTGGCCACCTCCCCTTGGGAAGATAAAAGGCCGGCCATGTCCCCCACATGCCCACCTAGCTCTCTGCAAATTTTGAGGAAGATCGGAGTTCCTGGGACCTGAAAAAGTTCAAGAAAAGTACACTTCCGGTCGCGAATACTTGAGGCTGGTGCGACCAGACGAATCGCGCAGGTATCGTATCTTCTCCGTGTGAGACGTGGCGGGGATTGAATAATCCTCCGCATTCTTAACTGCATGAAATGTAGTTGTTTGCTTTGCATTCTTGCTTAAAACTGTTGCATCTATTTGCGAATACTTGCTTCATTACAGCTTGCTGCATTCACATGATCATCAGTGATAACCGGCTTCGCGTAGCGTATAAGTCCAACTTTCAAAACCGGCTTCGCATAGCGTATAAGTCCAATCTTCAAAATCTTCTTGCGTTATCATTTGCATTTTGCCCCTGCCTGCGGGCATGCCTGCGGGCGCATTTCTGTTTATCTTGTATGTTTGTCTAAGTCTTCGGCCTTGTCAAAAATGGGTCGTCTCTGGGCTTTGACATTCACTCCCGTCACTTATGACTTTCGAGTTCTGTCAAAGAGGGGCAACTGTAGACACCCCATTTTTGACCGACCTTAAGACTCAGACAACACTGATTGAGCGCTTGGTGATGTTGCATAATGTGCTCGTTCAGAAGTTTCAGAGTCGCGGCCGCGAGCCCTGCCTCCGGACTTCCGAACCCTCTTCTGCGCCTCGTCTCGGTTTGCGAACCAGACTCAGTTTCTTTTGTTTCTTTTCCTGAGGGAAGGGAGAGGTCCCGTAGACCATCTCTCAATGGCCGTAGGCCATTTTTCCCATTTCGGAGTCCGATTTCCGGTTTTCGGAGCCGTTAGGCCGTGTGCCTCGGTTCGGGACCGCCTAACCATCTCCTATTGTTCTAATTTTTGGCATACTTCCTATTTTCTCCCTTTTGAGGGACACTGGGGTCTGAGAAACTCACTTCGTGGCCGAACGCCACTTTCGGTGCTTAACAGCCCATTTTCGGGACCCCGAACTGCGTGTTTTGGCCCCGGAACTTTCATTTTGCAACGGTTTTCGTTCATTTTTGGCAGGTACCTCTGTTTTATCACTAGGAAGGTCACTGAAGGGTGGGAGGCCAACAATTGTTGCAACAGCCAGTTATACATCCTTCGACGGCCTCCGGCGCCTGTTTTTCACACTTCCGGGCTTATGTTGAACCCCTTGGGCCCATTTTCTCAAACTTTGAACCACATATTTGTGATGTACACACTTGGGAGGACCCTAAAAGTTGGTGGCCGGCCAGTAATGCTGCTTGACCCTTTGACCCCCTCTTTCCGAGCTAATGTTGAACCCCTTGGGCCCATTTTCTCAAACTTTGAACCACATATTTGTGATGTACACACATGGGAGGACCCTAAAAGTTGGTGGCCGGCCAGTAATGCTGCTTGACCCTTTTGACCCCCTCCTTCCGGGCTAATGTTGAACCCCTTGGGCCCATTTTCTCGAACTTTGAACCACATATTTGTGATGTACACACATGGAAGGACCCTAAAAGTTGGTGGCCGGCCAGTAATTCCACTTGACCCTTTTGAACCCCTCTTTCCGGGCTAATGTTGAACCCCTTGGACCCACTTTCTTGAACTTTTAACCACAGGGTTGTGTTGTACACACATAGGAGGACACCATCAATTGGTGGCCGGCCAGAAAATCTGATTGACCTTTTTGACCCCTAGCCGGCCGGCCACCTGCAACAAAAGTACCAGGCCGGCCGTATTCCTTGCACTGTTCCCTTTACAGCTGTGAGGCTTTATCCCCCAGAAAAGATCTTTATCCGGGGGATATTTTGTGGGGGAATTTTGCTCTCCTTTTCCCCCACCTTTACACCCCCTTGTTGGCCTATATAGCAAGCAAGCCTTGTAGTGGTTTGGGGTTAGAAAACTTCACCTTCAAGCATCCATACAAAACTCCATCTCCATACCTCTCATTTCTTTGAAAAACCCTAAGTCCCTAAGCACCATTTCCTCTACAACACCAAGCTCTACCACCACCACCTCATTTCCAGCAACAAGGAAAGTTTCTCAAAGGCAAAAGGAGCTGCAAATTGGTCTAAGAAGCAACCAAAGCCTTAGTCTTCATGGGTAAGTAATACTTCTACTCTTTTGACCCTTTTTCTTGATCCATTTGTAAGCCCCACATGCTTTTTGTTTCAAGCTCCGGCCCTAACTGAAAAGGGCCCTCTTTTGAGCTCATCTTCACTCTTCATTAAGGGCTCAACCCTGTTTGAGCCCTCCATGACACACCTGCTTCATTGATCCTCTTATATGTCATAATTTTGCATGCTATTTTCGACCCATGAGTAATCTGATGATCTTGCATGCTCTTTTTGGCCCATGAGTAATCTGTTTTTGAGCATGTTGTAAACTGATATTAGGCTTATTTTGAGTCCCTCTTAAACATTGAAGAAGGGCTCAACACCATTTGGGACTTCCATGTTGTACTTACCTTTATACTCCTCTTTTCTTCCCCATTCTTGCATGCAATGGCAGCCTACCATGCTTTTGTTTTTGGCCATTTTACAGTTCTGAAAAAGTGCTTATTTTGGTCCATTATTCATTTTTCATTGAGGTCCTTTCATGGTTTGGGGCCTCCATATGCCACTTCATGTTATATCTCTCTTTTATTCCCCATTCTTGCATGTTTAGTTAGCCTACCATGATTTTGTTTTTGGCCATTTTTCAGTTCTGAAAAAGTGCTTATTTTGTTCCATTATTCATATTTCATTTAGGTCCTTTCATGGTTTGGGGCCTCCATATGCCACTTCATGTTATATCTCTCTTTTATTCCCCATTCTTGCATGTTTAGTTAGCCTACCATGCTTTTCTTTTTGGCCATTTTACAGTTCTGAAAAAGTGCTTATTTTGGCCCATTCTACATGTTTTATTAAGGGTCTTTGGATGTTTGGCGAATATTTTGCATACCTCATGTTATAGCCACTTTTGACCCTCATTTTGCATCACATTTCTATCATGTTTGTATACTGATTTTGAGGCTACCATATACTGTAAATATTCATATTTTTGGTCCCTCTTCAATGTTGTAGAAGGAAATTTTTCAGTTTGGGTTTTGCTTATATCACTTGCTTCATTACCCCTCTTTTGGCCCCTATTCTTGCATGCCATTTTTGCCATACCTATGCTTGCTGTTTGGCCATGTTTGTAACTGTGAAAGTGCCTTTTTCGGGACTGTCTAGCTTCTGTCTTTGCATTGCATTGCATGTCCATGTTGTGCATGTTTGGCATAGCTATAGGCCTTTTCGGATGCCTAAATTCGCATTTCGGGACGTCCATATTGCGCATGTTTGGCTAGCTATAGGCCTTTTCGGGCGCCTAAATTCGCATTTCGGGACAATTCCATGCATTTCATGTCATTTCGCCTCATTTCGGGACTGTTTTCCCCCATATTTTAGTGCTGAAATTCCATTAGAATGATTGCTATCCATTTCCATGTCATTTCATCGCATTCTGTCATCGCCTCGATTTGCGTGCCCGTGTGCACGCATTTTGAGGCACTTCATTTTTCATTCACCGGCATCCTATGTGAGTGTGGCTGAGGCTCACTCATGTTGGTATAAGCCCATTTGTAATTTCATCACATTTCATCATTGCCTCGGTTTGCGTGCCCGTGTGCACGCATTTCGAGGCACTTCATTTTTATTCACCGGCATCCTATGTGAGTGTGGCTGAGGCTCACTCATGTTGGCATAAGTCCATATCATGTTTCCATGTCATTACATCGCATTCCGCCATCGCCTCGGTTTGCGTGCCCGTGTGCACGCATTTCGAGGCACTTCGTTTTTATCCGACGGCATCCTATGTGAGTGTGGCTGAGGCTCACTCATGTTGGTATAAGCCCATATCACATTTTCATTTTTTGTTACATTCATAAAGAAAACTTGAAAATACTAAATAAGCAATAAATTTGGGGCATAGTTGAATCAAGTATCTCTGCGCCCCCTCCAAGAGCTGGACGAAGCATCTGAAGCCAAGCTAGGCCCAACCTGTGCCTCCTCATTGAGCCAATCCAAGCACTCATCGGACAAAGTGCAACTAAAAGTAGAAGCAGGGGCCAGGAGCTCTCTCGTCCTCCATGCTGTGGCATATCGGGCAAGCTGTGCACCCCGGACCGGGAAAGCGGCTGGGTACTCAATCCCCTCCGGTGGGCAGGTCTGATCATGACCAAACTGACGCAGGAACCGGAACGGAAAATAGAATACGCAGTGGGTTAGACCAGTCAATTGAATCCCAATCAGCCGAGACATACTATAGCTCATTGCCGGGAGGTTGAGCCAAGGGCAACGCCAAGCAATACCATCTGCGGACAAATTGCACATCCAATCGAACCACCACCTTTCGTCAAGAGCATTGACTAGGCGCTGCCGAAAGAAGTAGCCTCGAGCTGAATAGGCCGAACAAGAGTCCACAACCTGCAACTTGTCCATTAACCATACCTAGGGGAGGGATGGAAAATGAGAGAATAAAGAACAGAGAGATGTACGATGAGAGAAAAGTAAGACAAGGGTTTTGTAAGAAAAACCGAGCCTGAGGGTCGAGTGATGTGAGCAAATATATATGTAAGGCATGAGTTTATCCTAGTAGCGATAGATTATTTCACAAAGTGGGTCGAGGCCCAATCATACGCGGTGTTGAAGGCGTCGCACGTCGCAAAGTTCATCAGAAACAACATCATCTGTCGCTACGGGGTGCCAAACGAAATAATTTCAGATAATGGT